AAATAATAACCTCTGCTGCTTTAACTTTAATAATATACTGCATATAACTTTTTAAATCAGCTATTGCAAAAATCAAATTTTGACTATTTTGAAGGACACAGCTGAAGTAAAAGAGCTTACATTACGGTAAGAAAACACAAACGTGTTACAACGTGTCTTCACACGTAAAAAACACGTTGGGAACACGATCGGTTACTTGCACTTCCACCGGTCGCCATTGGAACGCGTTAACAACACGTAAGCACGTGTAGGAACGTTTTGCATATGATTTTATGCAAATTATCAAGAATTTTGTTCTGGCTCATTGTTTGTATGTCGAAGACATGAAAATCAACGAGCCTTAAATACAAAGTTTAGTCAAAGAATTTACAGATTTAGCTGATTAGGCCTAAATTATAATAATAATTTAGTAATTTTAAGATTCAGTAAGTATTGATATTTCTCTTTAAAAACTGATTTAAAAATTACTTTATTGCCTTCCAGATGCGTTTAAAGAACTTTTCACTATAAATTTTACGGGTAGCTTGAATATAAAACATTGTCATGAATTTCTTGTATTCCCATTTGTAAAATAGCTTAATTAATTGTTGAAGACTAACCCGATCTCTTGATGAAGGTGCTTATAGCTCGATTTTCTGTTTCTATTTGGCGTAATATTTATATGCAAAAATTGACTTTGGCGTGCAAAAGATAAATTCATAATTAATGGCATGGCTGGTTCAGTCGACAGAAATACGGGACACATATAACTACTAACTGCTGAAATGTCTGCAAGGCAAATCTCAGGTCAGTCTGAGCGCTCATGGTACACAGCCTTGAACATGCCTTCCGCCATACACCTGCAGGCGCCACTGACAGTAAGTTCAGCAGTACAGCAGGTAAGTAGGCCTACAGCAGCATGCAGGAAATGGTTGAGTATTCTTTTAGGTACAAAATATCTTTATTGTAGCCTAATGCTTGTAATGTCCATTTATAGTCTTTACACAGCAGCTTGGCTCCTTAAATGTTTAAAAACCAGCTAATTTCAAGACGCTGACGTCACGTCTGGTCGTCACGTGGGTCACCCGCAGTGTAAGACGCTCAAAGCTCAAGACGTTCGGATAGACGTTCGGTTTGACGTTCGATCGGTCGGTCGGTCGTTCGAACGTTTGATTTTGGCACGAAGTGCACGCCATAGTACAGGTTTTGCTCCCAGACGGAGCAGACGACATGAAGCGCGGTCATTTGCTCGACAGACACGTGCGTTGACTCGGTGTGTGAGCTGAACGAGTTCTGCAAATGCATTTGACGGTAATTGAGACACTAACGTTAGTTAAACTGTACTAGACAAATAAGTAATCGGTGCGAGAACGAACAGCAGAGGTCTATGTGAAAGATTGTAGTAAGCATGAAAAAGGAGTGCAGTTTGTCTGAAAGCTCAATGATGGTCATCTGTTTCCGCCACAATACCAAGTAACAAGATTGTTATTCTAAACCCCATTTAAATTTGAATGCGATCTGTTTAAAGCATTTAAGCATTATTTCTGTCATTGTTTTTTAATTAAAAACGTGTTTATTAAGTTATTAGACGACATTTGTTGATAAATGTCAAGTTACCAAAGTTTAATTGTATGTCCATTTCTGTTCTGTAGAAGGTACGTTGGCCGAACTGTTTTTTCTTTTCTTTTTTTAAGAAGTGTAAGAACCACTATATGACACTGAACAGTACCATAGGTCCAGGATATGTTTGATTAAATTTAAAGGTTGATTAAATTACTGTTCAGCGTTACTGGCAATAGTTAGCCGTGGAGAATATCAAAAAAGGCTCTTATATTACATGTATAAATGAATATTCCAAAAACTGTGGAGCATTAAAGTCCCAACCAGAATATGGCTCTTAATTGTATATATATATATATGGATCTCAGCCTTTCTCACACAGAACAACCTACTGGACAGCAACCAATCTGGCTTCAGAAGTGGACATTCGACCGAGACTGCCTTGCTTTCAGTTGTTGAAGCCCTAAGACTGGCAAGAGCGGCTTCCAAATCTTCTATACTTATTTTGCTGGATCTGTCTGCTGCTTTTGATACGGTGAACCACCAGATTCTCCTGTCAACCCTATTGGAAAATGGCATCTCAGGAACCGCATGCCAGTGGTTTGAGTCTTGCCTATCAGATAGGTCCTTCAAGGTATTTTGGAGAGGTGAGGTGTCCAAGTCGCAACATCTATATACTGGGGTGCCTCAGGGCTCAGTTCTTGGACCCACTTCTCTTCTCTGTCTACATGGCATCACTAGGTTCTGTCATATAGAAACATGGCTTTTCATATCACTGCTATGCTGATGACACTGAACTACTTTATCTACATGTATCTTTTTTCTTTTTCTTTTTTAATTTATCTACTTGTTTTTCTTTGTGTGTGTATAATATATATATATATATATATATATATATATATATATATATATCTTGCTACGTGTACTGCGTTAGGCTTGCTCTTTTGTTAGTTTTGACTGCTTTTATTGTCCTCATTTGTAAGTCGCTTTGGATAAAAGCGTCTGCTAAATGACTAAATGTAAATGTAATTGATGTGCATATAAACATGGTCAATGAACACAGCACACAGCATTTCTCGTTTTTTTTTTTTTTTTAGGTTGGCTTACTAAATAGACATTCTGAATGGCTCTGTGTTTCCAGACCATTGATTTTTATTTTTTTTTATTTTTTCCCTCAGGTCAGTTTGACTTTGCAGAGCAGTGTTCATCTGAACATACAGAAATATAGTTTGCCATTTTGGACAGTGGCTGGATGGGGAATCGGCAGGCTTGTTTTTGAGACATCTCCATTTGTAAATGAAGACCTTAACAACAAATATTTGACGCTGTAAAAATAACACCCGCCAGCACCCTGCTCCCCTCCCTCCGACTGCTCCCACCACAGCTGCTGGAGCTGAAAAAATGTTTTAGCAGAGTTATGGTTATCCCAAAAGCACTAATTAACCATAATTAGCCCACCGGTTGCTTGTCCCCTTATGTCATATTTCCAATTTACAGTTACAGGTTTTATTCGACCACCCAGTGTGAAATATTTCATTATTTCATTAATGCTATTGGATAGGAACATGAGATCTTTTCTACAGATTAATCTAATCCACATAATAGTATTTGCTCTTAAATAACTGTATTTTCAAGCATGTTGCTTTGATTTATCAATGGTTTTTGCTGGGCCATGTCTTCCACGAGTACCATAATCAGAAAACAGACACAGAATCAGCTTGCGGCCAAACCCTTGACTGCCATGTCACGAGGCGTGATTGCTGAAATCATCGGTGTATTTATGAAGAAAAAACAATCTGCATAGGTCAAACAGGAAATGACGGTGTTCAGTTATAAATTAACTTTATAATAGCATCTTTGTAATATGAAATTTAAACCATACTATTTCATTGCTGGTGGCTGAATTGCATAGTGTGCAACAATTCAGCCGTGAATTCACGTCATCACTGGTTCACGGTGATACATTATATCATAATGTTCAGGACAAGGATTACATTTCTGTGTTAAATGCGTTATGAAGACGTCATTTTGCAATTAAAACTATAACCTGGGGAAACAATAAAGATATGAGGGAAATTTCCTAGAACAGTACTGAACATATAATCAGTTAAACACAAACTGTTGTGCTGTAGTTTGTCACCGAGACTTACTAACGTCCAGTGGCCACTGAGGTCATAAGCAGGATAAAGCATATCTCCACTGATAGAGCAAACATGCAAAATTGCTTGCTTGAAAACATTGTTTTGGCTGGAAAGACTATTGAGCCTTTCTGTTTTATTGTTTCACAATTTAACTCTCAATTTTGCATAATAATCAATAAAATAAAGTAATATTCCGGGGTCAATACAATAGCAACACTAATGCTCAATTAACAGCATTTGTGGTGTAATGTTGACTATCACAAAAAAATTAATTTAGACTTGTCCCTCATTTCTTTAAAAGAATGAAAATAAATAAATAAATACAGGGTTAATATGAGGCACTTATAATGGAAGTGAATGGGGCCAATTTATGGAGGATTTAAAAGCAGAAATGCGAAGCCTGTAATTTTATAAATGAATGTACATGAACTCTTCTGTTAAAACTTGTGTATTTAAGCTGTAAAGCTGTTTAAATTAGTCTTACAGTCACTTTAGAGTTTGTCGTTTCGTTGCCATATTAAAACCATGTTAATGTGCATATGTGCACTGATTCTGATTCTGATATTTTGAAGTCTTGTGCCTTTACAATTGAAATATTGGCTGAATTCACTTTCATTGTAAGTTTTTATTTTATTTTTTTTATTAAATACGTTTTCTCAGTCAAAATAAGTTCAAAATATATTTTGTGATAATTAACATTGTCACAAATGCTATCAAATGTGTTTGACTCGTACTGATCCCAGACCAATCATTTAAAGCATTAATTTCACGTGTATGCATGTCAAAGCTGTCACTTTTGCACAATCTTTAAAGGGGTCATATTATGTTGCTAAAAAGAACATTATGTTGTGTATTTGGTGTAATGAAATGTGTTTATGCAGTTTAAGGTTTAAAAAACACATTATTTTCCACATACTGTACATTATTGTTTCTCCTCAATGCCCCGCCTTTCTGAAACGCGTTGATTTTTACAATCATACATGGACATATATGAAGTATATCCGTAGCAGGTGCCAAACATAGTACTAGGATGTGTGTATCTTAAGTCTTTTTCAAATGATTCCTGGAGTTTATGCCATAGAGCCATATTGTTGAGTCATGTCCCTTTGGTCACATGTTTGTCAGAGGGCTAAAGGAGGAAACTTAATCGAGGGGGGAGGGACAGCTATCAGTGGGTGCCTCAAGGTTGGAAGTGAACAGCATGTGTGTGTGACAGATAGAGACAGAGAGAGGTTAGGATAAAAGGGTAGTGCGCTTCAACTTCCAGAACAGCTTTTCTGTTCTCCAATCACTGCCTTTTTTCACCTCCTGTTCCTCCTCCCTCTCAGTGTCTCTTTCTTTTTCTGCCTTTCGGTGGCTGTTTGGCTTCAGTGGGTCTTTGCCATCGCACTACAATGACTGCTGTAGCTGTAGTCTCCCTGCAGTGAGCATTCTGAGGTAGGTCTCTCTCTGTGATTTTCTTCTCTGTAACAATGTGTAGTTAAAGGGACAGTTCACCTAAAATTGGATGTCATCACACTCATGTCATTCCAAACTTGGATGACTTACTTTCTTCTGTAGAACATGAAAGATTATATTTTGCAGAATGTTGGTAACTAAACCATTTTGGTGACCTTTGACTTTCATTGTATGGACAAAAAAGATGTTCTTCGAAATATATGTTTCAGAGAAAAAGGTTAGGTGTAGCCATTGGTTTTATGTCTTTGGTTTTCTGTTGCTTGTTATATAGGAAGGGTATGTTCATATTTTTGTGGTAGAAAACCAGGCACATAAAGTGTTTGGAGTTAAATTTTGCTGGAAATGTAACTGCAGCCCTTCCTGTCTTACAAAGTGCTTCCTGTTGGAATTTTTAAATTTTATGCACGCTATCAGGGAGAGAGGAATTATATGTTCAGAAATATGCTTGAACGAATCATAATCATGTTTTTTTGCTCATTCTTTGTTGTTGTCACTGGACTGTGATTGTCAGGAATGTGGCTCTTTCTCTCTTTCATCCTTTGTATATCCAGCCCAGTGATGATGAGGGGTCTAGAGTTACACTTGGTATCAGAGCAACAATGACTTTGGCCCAGATTAAGAGCATGAGATGACTCAGTGATTCTTCTAATGGACTGAAATACTGAAGGTTTTACTCATTTTCTAACAAACCTGTTCTATTTAGAGTTCCTGTAGTTCAAACAGTAGAGCATGGTGCTATGAACCGTCAAGATTGTGGGTTGGATTCCTAGGGACTGATAAAATATATAGTTTTAGTAACTTGAATGCATTGTAAGTCACTTTGCCAGGTGTGTAAATTTGCATAAAAATGTACATTTATTTAAAATTAGTGCTAAATACAAAGCAGTGCAATGCTGAGTGTCCTATCTACATGGCATTGACATTTTTCTTTTCTATTTCTGACCATCTACTGTCACCAGACAGGCAAATAGCACATATAACATAGCAACAGCCAATGTGCTGTGATTGCATGCTGTAAAGAAACTGCACTATTGCATGTTTTTTGTTAGAAACTATTATTTATATTACACAGTTCTGAATTTAGTGTTCACATGGCAGCAGCATAAGTGTAAGCCTTACAGTGTGGATGCTCATAGCCTCTGGGAAACATCTCTGCTGAATCACTGTCCTCAGTCACCTTTAGTGTACAGACACACAGTGGCACCCAGAAGTCTGAGGATACACTGAAAATCTGGCCATTTGTGGCCATTTGACAAGTGTCAAGAGTTTTTTCAAGCATAAAACAAAGAAATTAAGTTGAAAAACTATATATAATGAGGACACGTTTAAATAAAGCAAATGTTTTCTGATTTTGAATTTACAGGTAGAAAAAAAATATTTAAAGCAAAGAAATGTGGAATATTTAAGATTGTACAAATATATGACACTAACCATGCATGTGAACCCCTTTGTATAAAAGTTCAGATTTCCTTCCATTAAAGTGCTCTTTGGATCCTTCTCAAATCATGCTGGACAACATGATCATCAGATGTGGCACAAACGTGTGGAGATAATGCAGCTGGAGTGCTGCTGCCATTAAATCAGGGGTGTCCAGTCCTGTTCCTGGAGAGGCCACTGTCTTCAGAGCTCAGCTCCCACCCCAGTTAAACAAACCTGAACCAAAGCAATGAAGGTCTTCAGGATTACTAGAATTTTCAAGGGGGACGAGTTAGAGCTAAACACTGCAGGACGTTGGTTCTCCAGGACCAGGATTGGACACCCCTGGATCAAAGGCCCTGTTACAAAAGGTACATTAAAAACATACACAGTAAAGAGCTTCAGTTTAACATATGAAGTGTAAGATTGAAAATCGAGCACCTTCACCAAATTGAGGTCATATATCATCAACACGTGGCTCTGAACACATCACAGTTTAGCATAATACAGTTAACATCTCAGTATCACAGTTTAACATAACTTTGTAAAACTTTTTCTGGGAAAAGTTTTGAAGACATTTGAAGTCCTAATAAGAAAGGAAACAGTGCACATAAACTCCAGTTATTATAACTACTCAGCCTTGAAAAGAGTGTTCTGTGTTCAGGCAAGTGCATGCTTCACCAACGTCACACACATTACTTAATCTTTGAATGGAGGGTGCTACAGGAAACTGCAAGAAAGAGTCAGGGGAAATAGATAAGCTGAGTGAGCAGTCACACTTAGACTGCAGTGGCAGCGGTTTTAGTCTCCTCATATTTAGATGTTCACAGGTGTGAATTCTTTTTTTCAAGATGTTTGTATTCCAATCTTATGCTCTTTTTCTTTTCTTTTTAAATTGCCATATGGTTTTGTGATTCCTCATTGTTAATTTTGTCCTTTATAAGTGCAATATTATGAACAACTGATGCTTTTCCCTTTAAAAAATAGTTTACTGATGGTCTGTATAGGGGGAAAAAAGAATACTGTGACCTTTCACATACTGATATGACACCTACATCTGTATCGATTTGAATAAGGATGTGGCTTCTAATTTTGGTATTTTCCATTGAGAAATGTTACAAATTTCCTGTGCCCTGCCCAATTTATATGAGATGCTGTTACTGTGATATTGCATATGAGCTTTGACCTTGTTGTTGACTGATGCTCAGACAGATTTACAGTGTCTGAATTTCAAGTTGAAGATAAAATGTAGCATTGAAAAGTGAAGTGTCTCCCAGGGTTTACTAGGACGGGGAAATGCCTCTGAAATATGATTTATATTTTACTCTTGAGTATTTATTTTTAAACTTGAAAATGTGCATATATGTGATGTTGCAATAGTTTTTATGAGTATTAATTATTTGATCATTTTCTCTCATAATAATCAAGTGAAGTGGCATGGAAGAAAAATAGTTCCATCTATTGGGTCCTTAAAAGACTTCCAGCAATATATATTTACTGCTGTTCACAGAATGTATCATTTATGTTACTATTTAACTATATGGATCTTTACTTTAGGGCTTTAAAACCATTAATGGACAGGCTTTAATGGCCATTCAAGTCTCTTTAAAGTCGAGAGCTTTCTCAGTGCTGCATTTCTCAATAAACCACAAAAACAGAAGCTCAGTGAAGAAAAAATAAAGATTGTCTCTAAGACATGAACATGTAAATCGATCTGTCGGAGAACTTTTAATCAAGCAGATGTTTTCTTTTTCCATGTGTCACCTCAGGTTATGCTGCCCGAAAGTTCCCAGTTGAGTCTGAGTGAAAGAGAAAAGGGCTAAAGCCAGCGCACTTTACAGCACCACCCACAAACCTGACCGTAAGCAATGAGTGACCCTCAGGATGCCAGTGACCTCACTTCTGCCGCAGGCTTGACGAGACATTTGGTAGGTAATCTTTAACTTATTCGCTTTTTAATTTTTTTAAATTCTATTAAACACTAAATATTATTTAACTGGGTGAGACAGTGACCCTGTTTACTTTTTTAACACATATTCCTGTTGTAAATTACAGTATACAGGGCAGTGTTTCATACTGATTCAAACAGTTTAATTGTCTTTTTTAACAATTTATAAAAGAACCAGAACATATGAGTTATTCTGTTTGAGAATTGGACTTGTTGTATTGCAAGGGGAAAAAGTCTAGATATTTATACTGTAGATATTGCTATATTAACTACATTAACTATAGGCTGTTATATGTACACTGGAAAAAAAGCTTTCATGGGCAGCCTAGAATATCATGCACTTTCACAACAAAATAAACTTTTTTTTCTTTATTGAATAATAATAATAAAAAAACCTCTCTTTCTCTGTATCATTGTTTCTACACTGGTGATTTTTTTCAACTAACTTTTTTATTTATACCAAACAAGGCCATAATCATATCTAGAACATTACATTATTGTTTTGAGGAAAATATTAAGACCAGACCACTATGGTAATGGTAAAGGAACTAAATAAATAATAAGATTTTTTGTAAAGTAATCAATCTGAACTGCAAATAATATTTTTAGCTATTTTAAAATATGCACCCATTCAATTTTAGTTGTATTCTTAATATCTTGAAAGCACAAGACAGAAAAATGCTATTGTCGTCACAATAATTATGAATTACATGAATCATGTAAATGACAGCCCAACTTTCAATTCAAAACGGCGGCATTTGACAAAAAAAAAGAAGAAAGAAAGTCTAATAGTTTGCATCACTGGATAATACAGTCGAGCCGAGTGTTGCTATAGTAAATAATTCTTACATTCAACATTAACAGCAAGTCAAAAGAGGTAAGCTTTCATCTGTATAGCCTATGCATTTTAGACGCATATATGCTCGTGCCCCATCCATGCAATGAACGCACGTTATTGAATGATGTTTTTTTTTCTTTTAGAACATTAAAACTGCTCAGGTAATTTTAGTGGTAGGCTATGATACACATATTCGTGTATTAAACTTCTCATAACTCGCAAACTCCCCATGATAACGCGCAAATATTTCTGCCCGTTTTCGTTCGTTGTCAGCCTCTGCTTTTCTGCAACAGACTGAAGTCTCCGCGTGAATTCAGCGCGCCTTACATTCAGCTAATAAAAGAAATATGCTGCAATTTTCTGGAGTTATTTTATGATTGTTTGGGCAGTCTCAAGCTATAGCTTAAACTTCTCAAAATACAGTCGGCTTCAGATTAGTTTGAATCTATGCACAAAAAAATTAACGTAATCTTTATCTAATTCTGATTGGGTGGGCAAGACAGTCATTTGGGTGGGCTCAGCCCACCCCTGCAAATGCCTGGAGCCGGCCCTGGCCTGTTCTACTGATTTGGTGAGATTCTAGCAGTAGTCTGGTCACTTTGAGAAACATTTGCCAATGATCCTCCAGAGGTCTGATTTAATAAGATAAAAACATTATTTGTGTAACCATGGGACAGAGCCACCTAACGTGCCTTACCCAGAAATCTATTTACTTCTGAGGAACATGTTGTGCCATTAATTAATACAGCAGTGATGAAGACGTGCTGTGCAGATTGTGTCTGGTTTTTAAATATGTCCCTGGAAAACTGTAGTGTTTCAGTTCGCTTTCATCTGGTTTGTTTTCTGCTCCTCAAAGAGCCATGCATGGCTTGACGGACTTGCTTCTTACACTCATGGTGAGCACAGGGGCTCTCAGCAGTGACAATCGAGAAGTCAAACCTCCTACCAACAAAGCTTGTATTGATAAAAGCTCTTATTGATGATTCTGCAGTGTGAATAATGTTACATAATAGATCCTTAAATAATCATCTGAACAGTAGATGATTATTAAGCATCTAGTTATGGAACCTTACCAGACTGTAAAAAATATTTGCCAGTATGGTAGGCCTAATTCAGGTTATATTTTGTAAAACTAACAAACGAAAAAAAACAGGTCTTAAAGCAGCACTATGTAACTTTTTCTGTGTTCAAAATTTGCTAAATGTATATAATGAGCGAGTACATCATGAAATCATCTTCCAAACCGCGTTTTTGTCAGTACACTTATAATAAGTACTTATATTTGGACTATTGTAGCCTGGTTGGGTCGTCACCGCTGCGGAGTAACACATACCTGCGTGAATCGCCATAGACATAAACTTAGAGAAGTAGCTCCGGTTGGAATGTTCCTCCGCGGGATGTGTGCAGTTCTGTTTATTAACCGCTAGAGCGCCAAAAGTTACATAGTGCTGCTTTAATAGTCTTATGCAAGTAACAAGGTCTTGTTTTTAAAGATGTTAAGATATTTTGAATGTAACAAGACAAAATTACTAACTGAAGCACTCACATTCTGTTAGTGAAGAAACACCCTGTATGTTTAGGGATGATATCAGTTTATCATATTATTTCATACATAAAGTGGAAATTGTCACAGGAAATGTGTCTTGTAATAAATATTACTTCAGAGTGGGTGGAACAAAACATCTTGAAACATAATTTTAATACCTGATTACATGATGGTGTTTGAAGATAATACAGAAGATCTGGATTTTTTTGTGATGAGATAAAAGAGCTATATAAAATTCACCAGCGGATTCTGTGTGAGGTCATTTTCTGTCTGGTGAAACAATTGTGTAATTCTGCAGGATCTGCGCTCATTCAGCCTGAGCATTGTTCTCCATATTAAAATGGTGCTCAGATCTCACATAGGCAATAACACTTCTGTGGGAAAATGTAAGTTAATATGAGTCTCTCACTGTGTGGATGGAGGGAGGAAAGTGAAGTGACAGGAGCATCACATTTCATCCTTTGAAAAAACTTGAATCCCTGCGTAGAGGATTCAGTATTCAGGAACACAAAGCTTTGAGTTCTATCAGAAATATTTGAGCCAGGTGTAGATGGAGGCAAATCAGAGACAGATGGATTTGAGGAGGTGGAATGTGAGTGTGTGTGTGTGTGTGTTTACAGGGGTCTCTTGCACCTGGGGGCACTAGTAACATTCCTGACTTGGTGCCCTTGATGGAATAAGAATTATGTCTACTATGTCCAAACTAGGTTGTTGCAACAAGCAATTTGTCTGACACAAAACATGAAAGTGGGGTGTGATGCGACACAATCAATTACAAAACAGCCAATCAGAAATGTTCCCTTCTGTTTGTTCCCTCTCGATCGCAAGTTAAAAATAGAGCTTAAAAATAACATGACAGTAAATCTTAATGTAAAAACACAAGATGACTACGCATGTAAGGGATCAGGATGTGACTATAGATATGGCCGATGATGTCAGAGACTGGGGTGTAGATAAGTTTCTGATTAGATCCTGCTGCAAGGAATCAACTCTATACTTGATATCACATCCTCCGCTTCCTCTTCTTGAGGGCTACCTAGCATATAAGTGAAGTGACGTGACATGTGGCCAAGTATGGTGACCCATACTCAGAATTAGTGCTCTGCATTTATCCCATCCAAAGTGCACACACACAGCAGTGAACACACACACACACCGTGTACTGCAAACACATACCAGCTTCCTCACTGTGTCTGTCACACGACTCTGTTCCCCTTTCGGGCTTGAACTGATGGTAAAAATCATATGACCCCTTTAAATGAAGCACATGACCACAAGCCTCAGTTTATCCTCAGGATAGCATACCACAGACAGCAGGGGAGAAGAGAAGGAATGAGAAAATGAGCATAGAGAGAGAGAGATACCATCCTTAAATATATACAGATACAGGTGCATCTCAATAAATTAGAATGTCGTGGAAAAGGTAAAGGGTGGAGTTGTTTCCATTCTTTCGCTTGGCAGGTTTGCCATCTTTTGTTCTTCTGTTCGACGTCCGAATTTCCTGCATTTGACACAGTTGTAGATAAACGATGATACTGCTTGTCTACACCCGAGAATCCATATGCCATTAGATCTCAGTTCGTTTATGGTCATGCCACGCCCTTGATGTCTCACTTCGGAAATGATGTCTTTTACGACACCGAACGTAAGAAAATACGTACCTCATAAGCACTCAATGCTGCATCCCGGTTTTATTTTAGCCAATCAGCTGAGCTGGAAATGCCATGTGACTGATTAATCAGCTGATGCAGGAAAATGGTACGACAGTGCTGATTGGCTGAAGGCAAACTGTAAAATATAATAGAGCATTTAATTTTTTTAGAAGATGTATTTTGTCATAATGCACAGCTAATTTTGAATGACTGTCACTGGAGAAAGAGGCTTTTTGGAACCAGATGGTGTAGTTCCAGCATATTACCAGCAGGCAAATCATGAGTTCTTCTTTTACCAAATTATCATTGTGCTTTGTACTGAGAAATTGAGAGTTTTTGCCTGCATGATTACAGTATTGATAAGTATGGACTAAATAGCTTGTTTATGGAATATTACAAGCAGTGATGACAAAATGTATATTTAAAGCAACTGAAAATATTCATAAATAATTTTTCAGTGAAAAGGGCACTTTTATTGTGGGAGATTTTATTTATCAGATTTATAAGATTTATTTATATAAGATACAAAAATCATCCTTTTTTATATATTCTTTTCTCCTTTTTTGTTTAATTCACTTTAAATACATTTTAAATCACTTTTTATTTTTCTTATGCATCTGTTATGTATATTTTATGATCATTTTCAAATCCTTTTTATGTAACACACTTTGAATTACCATTATGTATAAAATGTGCTATATAAATTAACTCGCCTTGCCTATGATGTACAAATAAGAACCTGAGAATGCATGTCTGAATGACTCTCTTTGCTTGCATAACATCTGCTTTGATATCCATCTATGAAGGTTATTTGAAAAGAAATGAAAGTTAATATTTTTCTCTCTGGTTACATGTAGCCTGTTGCAGTGCATTCTTCGCCCCAACGATGTGATGATGATGATGATGAAGGGGACTTGAACAAGACACTGGGAGTGCAGCGCTTCCAGCAGATCCTTACACCTGCCCAGCGCGTGCCCATCGAACAACACCGCACCTTTAATGAGGAGGACTTTGAGTGTGAGAGCTTTACTGTTGATGCATCTGGTCTATAGCCTTCTGGTCTATACCTCTTCATATTATATATGACTAAATTAAATGAGAATGCATATTAATTTGACTGTTTTATAGATATTTATAGTGTTTTATGGTGTTTTTTCTAAAATATGTGCCTCCAAAGAAAACAACAAAAGTGAAAATTCTGTCATTGTTTACTCTTCCATAAAACATCATTCCAAAATGACTTTCTTCCATGGACCGCAAAAAATTTAATTATCAAATGCTCAATGGGAAATTAATTTCACCTCAAAAGGGGAAAGTAAATTACATTTCAATGCATTTGCCTTTTCCTGCAAAACTATTGTGTTCTCCTGAGAAACTTCTCTCACAAAAGTATTGCTTTTCCCGAGAAACTTGGTGTTTGTTTGCGATATAGAGCACTGAAATATAGTTTTTCCTCCCACCTCATATGATTTAGTTCTCAAAAGTTTTATAAGGTAATGCAAAGTTTCTTGGGGGAACACAAAAGCATTGAAATAAATGTTTTTGTCCTATCTCTTTTTTTTTACCATGACCATTTCCCTTAAGGGGCTCTGCAGTGATGCTCTTCTAAGTCTGTGATGTTTTTGGCATTTGTAGATCACCGTCACACCTCTCTACACATTCACCACCCTCTGTCTAAACACCTCCCAGAGGTCCGGAGGAAAAAGCCCGGAAGAAAGCGCAAGGACTCAGGACGGAGGAGGAGTTCATCTATGGGAGCAGCTCCACCGATAGATGAGGATGACGAGGATGAAGAGGTGGATGAAGATTCCTGTAGCCAGCAGGATAAAGAGGGCAATGTCACCACCACACCTACACCGGACACGGACACAGAGGTGGATGCTGAGCGGGCACAGGTAGTCAAGTCTCACACAAACACACGCACACTCTTCTTGTTATGATCTTACTAACTTCTCTCTTGTTGGCCCACAGTTTTTTGTATCAGAAGATGATCCTGACTCCACTGTAAAGAAGAACGGTAAAGTCTCACCACATCGAAAGCTGCCAATCATACCCCATTCGGTGCTACACACCAGTATCAGCATCCCAGAAGATGTTACAACAACCGCGTAAGTGTACATGTGCACACACACATACACAAACACATAGAACGATTCAAATACATGTGTGTGTTCAACCTCACTATGTTCTGTTACTGCCGCAGGGGCAGAAATTGGGTTCGTAATCTGCCCAATGGCAGACGAGTTTCTGCACCATGTTTGTTTCCAAGTTTGAGTTCGCCAGACGGCAGCTTTAAGACACGCAGCTATGATCTGCAGGAGCGCCGCCGCACAGGCAACATGACGGGCACCGCACTAGAACACTACCAATGCATGCCCACTGACGAGAGCGAGGCGCAGACACTCGCCACGGTTGACCTGGATGGCATTAAAAGTGAGTATGTGTGTTTGTGTAACAATTGACAAAAGATGTATTTGGCAACTTAAGGTCAATGAAGAGTTTTAACATTTATTTATGTGTAAATATATATTAATAATTTTATTAAATCATACACCATTCCAAAGTTTGTCGTCTGTAAGTTTAAAGTTCTCTAACATGCTCACCCAGGCTGCATTTATTTGATACAGTATAAAGCAGTCATATTGAAAGTGACGTGACATGTGGCCAAGTATGGTGACCCGTACTTGGAATTAGTGCTCTGCATTTAACCCATCCAAAGTGCACACACACAGCAGTGAACACACACACACCGTGAACACACACCCGGAGCAGTGGGCAGCCATTTATGCTGCGGCGCCCGGGGAGCATTTGGGGGTTCGGTGCCTTGCTCAAGGGCACCTCAGTCGTGGTACTGAAGGTGGGAGAGAGCGCTGTACATTCACTCCCCCCCACCTACAATCCCTGCCGGTACGAGACTCGAACCCACAACCTTTGGGTTACGAGTCCGACTCTCTAACCATTAGGCCACAATACTATTACAATTTCAAATAACTGTTTTCTGTTTTAATATATATTTTAAAATGTAACTTATTCATGTGGTGAAGCTGAATTTTCGGAAGACATTACTGCAATCTTCAGTGTCACATGATCCTTCAGAAATCATTCTAATATGCTGATTTGCTGCTCAAGAAACATTTCTTATTATAAACAGCTGTGCTTATTATATTTATTTTGAAAACTGTGCTAACCTTTTTCAGTAATTTTTTACAAATAGTGATGAAAGGACAGTATTTATTTGTAGAAATCTACAAGTATTTTTTTTTTAAATCAGAGAATGATCACAATGTTAATGATTATTATAATTAAATACAAATTGAATGTACATTCTAAAAAAGAATACATACATAATCAATGATATATAATAATATATGTCTAATATTTATTATTAATAATAATAAAATGAACTGAATATGTTAACACACAAATAATTTTAATCAATTGACAGCCTTTTAAATATTTTTATTTGTAAATTATTAATTCTGTTTAATATGTTTAACAAAGCAAATTTCAAATGTTCCAAGTACGCATGAAACCTATTTAAGTACATCCCATGGTATAGTTTAGCATTATATTAGTTATTAGTGAGATTTGTTGTTTTTCAGCGAGTAATGGGCATTTCAGCTGATCATAGATAATCAGTGACGTGTTTGGAGTGCAAGAAAATGTATTTGCTTTCCCGGTTATAAAGGACTCCTTTATTTACCTTTCTGTTCTCATTCTTCTGAGAATAAATCATGTTTTCAGTCTGTACATCTGACCATCTGTGGCTGTGATTCAGGAATGTGGACATTCTCAAAGGGTGCAGAGCTGCCCACTACAACTGTGCCTTTGACGTCTCTTTTGTATGTGTGTGTGCTGTAATTACAAATAATTTTGACTGAACAATAGATCACTTTGAGACACAAAACTGAGTCATGTTCTAGTGAGCGCTCAGTTGAGTTTTCAGTTTGTGGTTCTGTGTTTGGATGCCGAGTATTGTGTGTAATATAACCAGTATTGTCAATGTTACTGATACTCACAGTGTGTTACAATGGGTTCGGTGTTGTTCTGACTTGTTTGCTGTTTTTAAACTCTTGGCTTAGTATTTCAGCACTGTGTTGCTGTCTTTCTTGCAGGTCACAGGTTTGAAGATGTCCCTGGTGTGCGGCGGCACCTGGTTAAGAAGAGTGCTAAAGGTCAGGTGGTTCACATCGGCAAGGACCACAAAGAGCCCAACAGTCGTATCCGGACCAAGTTGGATCGAACCCCACATGAGGTGAGACGCCAGCTAACTAGATTATCTTTCCCCTGTCCATTCGGAGCTATTTTCTAGGCTTGCATGTTTGGTGTAGCAAATAAAAAAATGCATATTATGTCATCAGTATCACCTTAAAGAGTGTAGTTTCTAGAGGTCAATAATGGAATTGTAAAACTATGATTATTAAAATCTTAAAAGACTATTTCCCTAACACTCCCCCTGTCTGTTATCGGTTAATCAAACAAATAGCACCACCCCAAACTCACACAATTGGTCGATATTGCTGTGTTTGGCTGGTCAAAATGTGCAAACAAAAGAACAATGTTTTCACACTTTTCAGGAAATCAACCTAATAAAAGTTTCAATATAGAGCAAATTTCACACTTTAGCTGTAATGCTTTCTTATACTGAGGAGAAAATACAGTAAAGCATCATTTTAGATTGCATGCTGTACAAAGCTGGGGTATTACTACCATTGGCTCACTGAGCCTACTGTTGTTTGTTAGAGGAGATCATGGCCCTGTTACATGGACTACAGGGTTTGTCATGCCCAACAGCTGAAGGTAGGGTGACACAGAGCTGGTATGATTGCTTTGTGGAACAGCTGAAGCTTGTTTGCACTGTTTGCTAATACCACATCTGTACCACTGGTTTTGTGGAAGGCAGTGGATGGTCATAGCTGTTCGGTCATGATAGAATGCCGCTTTTTGATTTATGAGTAGAATAAGGTCTGTTAACATTACTAACATTATTTTAACTTTTTAACATTGCGTAAAGAGACTTTAACGTAACGTAAATTACATATAGCTGCTTCAAAACGCAAATGGCTAATTAAGGACTACAAATTCCACGAGGATAAGAGTTTATGTGCTTGTCAAATCAAGTGGCAATTATAGATTTTTTTTTCCAAAAGAAAAGAACACTTTTAGAATTTGGACACACTAAATTGATCAGAAGTGACAGTAAAGACATTATAATGTATAATGTTACAAAATATTTCTATTTATAATATATATATACAGTGGGTACGGAAAGTATTCAGACCCCCTTAAATTTTTCACTCTTTGTTATATTGCAGCCATTTTCTAACAACCCATTAGAAATTTCTCACAGAACTTCAAATGCTTACAATTAGTTTTAAGATAACAAATAGAACAGCTCTACTGACACTTAAACATAATAAATTAGGTTTTATTCCAACAGCTGAAATGGGCGGCTTGCCTGAAAAGATTGCTAAAGATTGCTCTTGACTGAAAGAAAAAACAAAAAACTAAAACAACAGATACAATCCACAGTGAAATGCAGACTAAATTTAATCTTGTCTGCTTCCTCGAATGAAGTGTTTAGCTTCAATTCAATGATGCATGGACTATGCAGTTTTTTTTTTTTTTTTTGATAAAGGTTATGAGGTGTTGTAAGCTCAGTTGTATTTTATATTTTATAAAAAGAATGTTTATTGAACCAAACCTGAACACATAATTTCTGCTAACTTAAACAGATGACTTTCCATCAAATTAGTTGTACTGGATTTAAAATGTACAACTTTGAAAGAAAGGACAGATAAATCATAAATATTCTCTCAGGTGTTTGTTGAGCTGAATGAGTTACTGATGGATAAGAACCAGGAGATGCACTGGAAGGAAACAGCTCGTTGGATAAAGTTTGAGGAGGATGTGGAGGAGGAGACAGAGCGCTGGGGCAAACCTCATGTAGCTTCACTCTCATTCCGCAGCCTGCTGGAGCTCCGCAAGACCATTTCTCATGGTGAGAGAGAGGAGAGAGACCAGCTCACACATTTACAAACATATATTTACAAATACAATGTGAGAATTGAGTGATAAATTGAATTAATTGCTAATTCTTTTTATTTCTGATCTATTTAAAATGCATTTTGGTGAGTCTGATGTATTGAGGTGTAATTTTACAGGTGCAGTGTTGTTGGACCTGGACCAGAAGACGCTGCCTGGTATTGCTCATCAGGTTGTGGAGCAGATGATTATCTCAGATCAGATCAGAGCACAGGACAGAGCCAATGTGCTCCGAGCCCTGCTCCTCAAACACAGGTTAGTTTCGCATAGGTTTTATGAACATTACACTGCATATCTCAAAAAATGTTGAATAAAGCTACTCACCTTTTAAGGAACACCTTACTCATTTGGATCATGCAGCTGAACTTTGTGCTTTGTATTTCTTCTGTTTGTTAGCCATCCAAGTGATGGCAAGGAGCACAGCTTGTTTAACCGGAACATCTCAGCAACCAGCCTTGGCTCTCTCATATCTCATTACCATAGCAGTAACCATATCGCCGCGCCGGAGCCCCCTGCCACAGACCCGCTCATCGGAGGACTACGTAACTTTGAGTCACGCAGTAGTGTAAACTTAGATAAGAATGAGGTACCGTGTGCATTCAAATCTGTGTGTGTTTTTAGGAGGCAAAGAATGGTAAAATAGACAATTAGAATTCTTCCTCTTTGTTTCCACAGAAAGACACACCCCAGTTTTTTGGTTTGCACAAGACCAAATCTAAACATGAGCTGAAGCTGCTTGAGAAGATTCCAGAGGATGCAGAAGCAACGGTTGTCCTTGTGGGTCAGTTAACTGTCCGTGCTTAAAGGGTTAGTTCACCCAAAAATGAAAATTAGGCTGCTCACCCCCGAGGCATCCTAGGTGTATATGACTTTCTTCTTTCAGACGAATCCAGTCGGAGTTATATTAAAAATTGTTTTTGATCTTTCAAGCTGTTTCATGGCACTCAGCGGGTGTTGCATTGCTTCAGTCCAAAAGAAGTTAAATAAAAATCGCCCATCCATAAAAAAAGTGTCTCACACGGCTCCGGGGGTGAACAAAGGCCTTCTGTAGCGAATCGATGCGTTTTTGTAAGAAAAATATCCATATTCAAAACGTAATAATCACTGTAATCTAGCTTGCGCCAACAGTTCCGGGAGCATGACGTATGAGGTCAGTGCTGCGCATGCGCCGGTGAGTCTCGTGAAAACCACTGTTTGTTTACAGGATCCAACGAAAGCAAAGTTTCCTTACTTTAGCAAAGGAAAACCAGTCTCCTCTTGGCTTATATCGAAATCCTCTGACATTCTTCTTTACAAATCCTCGTTTTGTACTTCTAATTCTTGACCGTTGTTTTGTTTTGATCTCTCCGCTGGGTGAACTAACCCGTTAACTCTGTGATATCATAACTGTCAGCACATGACATGTTACATCTGTTCAAGCCATGATACAGATGATCTCGATTTTCACAGGTAGTGTGGATTTCCTGGACCAGCCCACCATGGCCTTTGTGAGACTGCAGGAAGCGGTTCTGTTAGAGTCAGTTCTAGAAGTGCCGATTCCAGTGCGGTTTCTTTTCGTGCTGCTCGGCCCACCCAGTGCCAACATTGACTACCACCAAATCGGCCGCTCCATATCAACACTTATGTCTGATAAAGTAAGCACAGAATGAAAAAGGTGCTATCAGGTCTAATTAAATAAGAGATAGTTCACCCAAAAATTAATATGACATAATATTGCATTATATACACTACTTTTCAAAGATTTGGGGTCAGTGAAAGTTTCGTTTTTCTGAAAGAAATTAACACTTTTATTCTGTAAGGACACATTAAATTGATCAAAAGTGATAGTAAATACATTTATAATGTTACAAAAGATTCTATTTTAAATAAATGCTGTTTTTTTTTTTACTTTCTATATGTCAAAGAATACTTTAAAAATTCAACATTGCAACACTGATAAAAAAATGTTTCTTGAGCATTAAATCAGCATATTAGAATGATTTCTGAAGGATCATGTGACACTGAAGACTGGAGTAATGATGCTGAAAATTCAACTTTGTCATCATAGGAATAACTTACATTTTAAAATATATTAAAATAGAAAACAGTTATTTGAAATTTTAATAATATTTCACAATATTGCTGTTTATACTTTATTTTTGATCAAATAAATGCAGCCTTGATGAACATGAGACTTCTTTAAAAAAAAAAAAAATCTAAAAATCCTTAAAACAAGGTAATTTTACTGCAAGACTTTCATTTATACATTTGTTTACTGCACTGTCATGTTTTATTTTTTTTGCTTGTTTTAAGTATAAACAGCATTTCAAACATCTCTTCCAGCACTTCCATGAAGCGGCGTATTTGGCAGATGAGCGGCAGGACCTGCTTACAGCCATCAACAGCTTTCTGGACTGCAGTATTGTGCTTCCTCCATCTGAGGTTGGAGGAGATGAGCTGCTGCATTCTATCGCTCGCTTCCAGAAAGAGATGCTGCACAAGAGACATGAGCAAGAGGTCAAACTACAGGCCAAGGAACTCAAGAGCCCCGAGGACATGGGTACAAGGCTCTCGCTCATATACAGAATACAGAAGTGAACAGATCCGTTTACTGTTTATCCAAAAATAAATGTATTGAATCACCTTTTGTATTCATTCTTAATGTTCTCAGCTCTTCATCCTCCTCTGAAACCTGAAGACGATCCTCTTCGGAGGACGGGTAGGCTGTTTGGCGGGGTTATCCGAGATGCACAGCGCCGCTACCCCAAATACATCAGTGATTTTAAGGATGCCCTGAGTCCTCAATGCATGGCCTCTGTCATATTCATTTACTTTGCTGCCCTTTCTCCTGCCATTACCTTTGGAGGACTATTGGGTTAGTCAAAGCTCTTCATTTTTTTTATTTAGAGCACTGCTTTTATGTTGTATCTAAAACAAGGAACTTTTTCCTAATGAAATCATTTTTCTTGTTTCCAGGTGAAAAGACAGATGGTTTGATAGGTGTGTCAGAGCTGATTATTTCCACTGCCGTGCAGGGAATGTTGTTCTGCCTGCTTGGGGCTCAACCTCTGCTGGTGGTGGGCTTCTCTGGACCCCTGCTAGTGTTTGAAGAGTCCTTCTATTCCGTTAGTATTTCTAATAAATGAATACAAATACTACTTATTCACTAAGAAAAAAAGTTGTGCCTGCTAATAGTGCAGTTTATTTCATTTACAAAATGCATGCAAATAGCGCTGATTTTTGAGAATAAAGCACAATCTCTATTGAGGATAATTTGAATATAAAGACTTCTTTGGACTGAAAATCACAGCAAATAAATTGAAATACTTGCAGTGCTATTGTAATGCATTTAGAACCTGGTTCAGCAAACTAGACCGTTTTTGGATCAATATGGATCAATGTGTTTGCAGTTCTGCAGGTCCAGTGAAATCGAGTATCTGACAGGACGTGTGTGGATTGGAATCTGGTTGGTCATCATTGTTGTTCTCACGGTGGCCTTTGAAGGGAGCTTCCTTGTGCGATTTGTGTCACGCTTCACCCAAGAGATCTTTTCCTTCCTTATCTCACTCATCTTCATCTACGAGACCTTCTTCAAGCTGGGCAAAGTATTGAGATGTTTTTGTTGTTAACACTGCTGTTCAAAAGTTTTTTTCTTTTATGTTTATGTTCACCAAGGCTGCAATTATTTGATCACAAATACAGTAAAACAGTAATATTTTGAAAATCACTCAAATATGATGATCTGGTGCTCAAGAAACATTTTAACATTTTATCATTGTTGAGAATGTGTTGGTCAGTTTATCCTTGCTGAATAAAATTATTAATTAATAAAAAAAATGTTGACCCCAAACTTTTGATTAGTGTTGTTTGTTTATGAGAGAGATTTAAATGTGATCAGCGGATATTCAGACAGTCTTTGTATACTGTGCAGATCTTCATGGATCATCCTCTCGGAAGCTGCTATGGACGAGAAGAAAATGACACTGCTTTACCAACACCCACAAGTGACGGCAGGTCTCCAGATGCCTCTCAAACCCTAAACCAGCCAAACACAGCCCTCCTCTCCCTGGTGCTCACGGCTGGCACCTTCTTCATTGCCTTCTATCTGCGTAAATTCAAGAACAGTGCTTTTTTCCCTGGCAGGGTAAGCCAGTTATCCCAGTGTTCCTGCAAACATGTTGTGCCATTTACTCCATGATGTTTAAATAAACATATAGGACAAGTTTTTAATGAAAGTGTCAACTACCTGTGTGTGATGAAGTGGTATTGACGAAAGTGATATTGTGTCTTTATCTTTTGCTCAGCTCCGAAGGGCTATTGGAGATTTTGGAGTTCCTATTGCAATCTCCACCATGGTTCTGTTGGACTACAGCATTAAGGACACTTACACACAGGTGAGACATGAAGACATGTTTATATCATTTGATTAATGTATAATCTATAATCTATGAACTAGATTTCTCTTTTTTTTCACCCAAACACCCAAATTCATTGTACATCAAACAAGATTTTAAATGGCACATTTCAAAATTACTTATGTCTAAATGTTTCTTAGACATATGACATTTTTGAAGTACTTTGGAGGAAATTATAGGAATTGAACATGGAAATAAAAAAAAAAAAAAGGTAAAATAATAAAACAACACACACACACACGTCTGGTCAGCTATCCTTGTGGGGACTCTACATAGGGGTAATGGTTTTTCTACTGTACAGACCGTATTTTCTATTGCCCTTCACCAACCCTACCCCTAAACCTACCCCTCACAGGAAACTTTGTGCATTTTTAGATTTTCAAAAAACTTCATTCTGTGTGATTTATTAGCTTGTTTACCCGTGGGGACCTCAATTTAGGTCCCCACCGTGACACGAGTCCCCATGAGTCTGTGTGTATTCAGGTTTAAGTCCCCACCAGAATAGAAAAACAGGTACACACACACACACACACACACACACACACTCAATTTAAAGAGATAGTTCACCCAAAAATGAAAATTCTATCATCATTTACTCACCCTCAAGTTGTTCCAAATCTGTATGATTTTTTCTTCTGCTGAGCACAAAAGAAGTTATTTCAAAGAATGCTGGTAACCAAACAGTTGATGGTAGACACTGACTTCCATAGTATGGGAAAAGAAAATACTATGAAAATAAAATGCTACCATCAGGTTACCTACAGTCTTCAAAATATCTTCTTTTGTGTTCAAGTGGAGGGTGAGTAAATGATGACATAATTTTTATTTTTAGTGAACTATCCCTTTAAGACCAAAGATTTATAAAAGCCATTTTGTCATAGATTTTTTTTTACCTTTTCTATGCTGTGCTATGCTATAGACTTAAAAATAACATTTAAAAAAATTTGAATTTAAGACATTTTAATACTTTTTAAGGATCCACTCTGTTTATCAAAGTACCCTGGTATTACCATCTGATACCATCATCTGTTGTTCTGTAAATGTTTGTAGATGGTATCCAGTCGTTTCAATAAGAATCCACACGATTGAGTATTTTGCATGAGGGTGAAAGATTTCCCCACACAGATTTGAAGTTGGTCATGCAAATTCACTGCGCTGACTAACAGAAAGCAGCTTGGTTTGAAAGTGACTTCTTTGTGAGCTGTGATTCGATAGACAGTGGACCTTTTTTGCCTGTGAAATTTCGCTAATGTGACCGTACCTTAAGGGTTGTAAGTTACCCTGAGGTTATTCATTGATTAAAGACTGGACAATATTTGTATGTCATTTAAAGCAAATGACTCCATATGCCCTGAAGTCACCTGACACACGTGTCCCACACAATCTGTGATCTTTAAACTTCTTTCCTCCCCATGTAGAAACTAAGTGTGCCTGATGGCTTCTCTGTGACCAGCCCGGATAAGCGTGGTTGGTTAATACACCCACTGGGCTCAGATGGCCAGTTCCCCATTTGGATGATGGTTGCCAGCATTCTACCTGCCCTGCTCGTCTACATCCTCATTTTCATGGAGACTCAGATCACCACGTGAGTCACAGGCATTCACTAACCTGTTCTGACCATACCTATACCTCTATTACATCATTCCTCAATTTATATTGACTCAATTTTCCTTTAAAGTCTTATTGTCAGCAAGAAGGACAGGATGCTAGTTAAGGGTTCAGGCTTTCACTTGGACCTGCTGATCATCGTGGTCGCGGGTGGTGTTTCAGCGCTGTTTGGGCTACCGTGGTTGACCGGTGCTACTGTTCGTTCGGTAACTCATGCAAATAGCCTTACGGTGATGAGCAAAGCTGTTGCGCCTGGTGACAAACCCCGCATTCAGGAAGTAAAAGAGCAGAGAGTAACAGGATTTCTGGTGGCTTTTCTAGTAGGTGAGTGGCTTCATTTTATGGATGATAAATATCATCTACAGTATATCTGCACCATAGTGGTGGGCAGCTGAAATATTCGATTATCGGTCGATATTGCAGAAATATCGGCTGATATTAGATTTTTATTTGTATGTACTTATTTCTCCTATTTTTAAATTTAGATTACCTTGCTATCATCTAATGCTCACTTTAGGTTAACATTTAATACTTAATGATGCTTTATAATAATAATAATAATTGAACACCGTTATATTATAACTTTAGCAAATCTCAGAATGAATATCCATTTTTCATACTGTACTGTAATTTTGTGATGCTTAAATTGGCACACTTGTTAAAATGATTGGTTTTTAGATTTTAATGTTTTATTTTGAATTCAGAATAGTATAAATATATATATATATATATATATATATATAGAGAGAGAGAGAGAGAGAGCGAGAGAGAGAGAGATAAATATTGGTTATTAGCCCTAACATAAAAATAATTTTTGGCTTATTGGTTATTTTAATATCATTGCATCCCTAGATAAATTCTAACATGTTGCCCTAATAGGTCAGTGAATGGCCTGTTGAGTAATTAATTAGTTATATTTTCTTTATATTTCTTGTTTGGAACTGACAGTAGATAAACCCTCTTCCCTCCAAAGGTCTCTCCATTGTGATTGGAGATGTTTTGCGGCAGGTTCCTATCGCTGTGTTATTTGGTATATTTCTCTATATGGGAGTGATGTCTCTAAATGGGATCCAGCTAACAGAACGCATGATGCTGCTATTAATGCCACCGAAGTACCATCCTGACCACACCTATGTCCGCAAGGTTTGTTATGGAGAACTCAGCTAATCACAATATTCACCAGTCTTAATTCAATAATCAGATAACAGTACGTCTGGAATGCCATTCTCAATTTGTCTCTTCAGATTTAGCTGTGCTTTAACCTTTGACTTGTCTATTTCAGGTGCGTACTCTACGCATGCATCTGTTCACATGTTTGCAGCTGGTGTGCCTGGCTGTGCTGTGGGTTGTAATGTCAACCTCGGCCTCGTTAGCCTTCCCGTTTGTTCTTGTCCTCACTGTGCCATTCAGAAGGTTCCTGCTGTCCCGAATATTTACTCACCGTGAGATACAATGTGTGAGTGTTTCTTTGCTTTTTGTTGATAGGAAAATGATATTTGTAGATGAGTTTAATGTAGTGTGTTCTATCCTAAAAATGTACTTTTTTTTGTTTTACACCTAAATTATGTATTTTAACAACTTTATTGTATTGCTGTATTGACAGAGTGCTGTTGTGTTGTTTTTTTTTTTCAGCATGCAATTTGGCAATGCGGTAATACATAAACTTTTACAATGCATTCTCTAAAAACATGTCTAATTATATCTTACGCAGGTTAGTAAATTTATAGTAAGATTAAAATATATTTTATATATTTCTGTATTTTTTAAACTTATATTGTGGCTGTATACGTTAAAAAATAATGGAAATAATTTTTGCATTGTACAGTGACATCTTGTTTTCAGGACTAATATAAAATCTTTAATCTCATTTTGCCCTTTGCCTTTAATGTTGTTCATTTTGTCTATGTGACAGCTTGACGCAGATGATGCAGAGCCTTCAATTGATGACAGAGAAAGCCAAGATGAATACACAGAGATGCAAATGCCAGTATGACCTCATTCCTCTCATGTCACTACCTGGGCTTGCCTGACTTTTTTTTTTTCAGTCAGAGGCATCCAGATGTACTGCCTGTCTTTTTTGATTAACCAGTTTTTGTCTCCATTTTGATTCCTCCATTTTGTTTTTGCTTAAATTATGTAAACATTATATTTATACATATGTAAAAGTGTTAAAGGGGTCATATGATGCTGCTAAAAAGAACAGTATTTGGTGTAATGAAATGTTTATGCGGTTTAAGGTTAAAAAAACACATTATTTTCCACATACTGTACATTATTGTTTCTCCTCTATGCCCCGCCTTTCTGAAACGCGTCGATTTTTACAAAGCTCATCGGTCTGAAAAAGCAAGGTGTGCTGTGATTGGCCAGCTATCCAGTGCATTGTGATTGGCCGAATACCTCAAGCGTGAGACGGAAATGTTACGCCCCTTACCATACTGTGATGTTGCCCTGTCAGGCCGGAGCGATGATTCAAAAACATGAAAACCCATTATAAACGAGGCATCCAGTGTATGCATCCAGTGGGGACATGTTGCGTTGCATCGCGCAGCGTAAACATAAAACCATGTCTGCATTTGTGATCGGAGAAACGACAAACAACAAGCGCTACTCTACACTGCCCAAAAAACTCGCATTTGAATCGTCAGTGGCAAATTCTTAATATATAAAAAACGTACTTACAGTCTGTGAATCAGAACAGCCG